CCATCTGGTTTCTGATGGCGCTTATCCCCCTGTGATCAGTGAGCTTCGTCCTGCAGCGGTGTCTTCTCCACCATCGGCCTTGGCCTGCAGAGGGGATAACAGTGGTAGCCGAGGCCCTGTAGACAGGAAAGGCAAAACTCCTGCAGAGAGGAGTCCCCAGTGAACACTGAGAGCTTGTTTGGAGGTTCTAGCAGGGGAGCGCAGCTACTCCTCTATCCTTGACCAAACACTGGTCCTCCTCTATTGGGGAAGCTTTGGCACAGCTTCAGGAGGTATATGCATGCAGTGGTGAGGGGGTGGGGACACCTGGCTAGCCAGCCAGATCAGCTGAATCAACCTGGGCAATCAATGGGGTGAGAGCTGGCACAGCCAGATCACCCTTACATCCCCAGTGGACTTCGTAATCATGCTGGTGCCCCTCTCACTAGCCTATTTATTACGGCATTAGTAAATGACACATTTTTTGGGGGCTTCCTGTGGAACATACTCATCTCGTGTGTCTTCTGACCTTACACGGCATATCCACCCCAACATACCCACATCTCTGAGCCTTTCAGTTTCCCGTGGCACTATCTGCTATGGCAGTCCTGCCTGTCAGCCTCACAGAGGGTGGGCATCATTTTATTCATGCTTCCTGCAGACATCCTTGTAGAGTTTGCACCATCGCTGGGAGTCCTCATTGGGAGGTTAAACCTTGGGAGTGGACTCACAATGATGAAGTCTCCCCTTTCCAGTCTTGTACTCAGACCCCCTTGGTCAGGCACCCTCAGACTCCAGTGCCGTGACCACACTTTGGCAGGCTCCTGCTGGTCATGCTTACCGGGTCCTGGAGGTCCTCTGGTGTGCATGTGCCCTACTGAGTTATGTTGAGATTTAATCCTAATTCTAGGCCTAGAGGTCAAAAGGGAAAATGGGAATTGATTCTGAGGGGGCACATGCTGCCTTGTAGGGGAGGGTATCTGCATTGTCACTGAGCAAGGGGGAGAGCTAGTTTTTAATAGGGAAGAGTGGGCCACCAAGGGGGCGGGAAGTCCGATGATTCAAGAGTCGGGGGTATGAACATAAACACTTGTCATTGTGTATCATGGCCCTGGCCTTGGTGTGGCAGGTTGGCCTTGCTTAGGCGTGTCACCTTCTTTGGAGCTTGGCCGCTCTGGCCAAGGATGCACAGCACAGGAGTTCTGCCATCTGAACTAGGCTTCAGCAGAATGACTGTGGCTGCGTGCCAAGAATTGGGCAAAAGTAGAAGCCTGGCTGTTGTATAAACCAAATGAGTGGCTGCCACCCTGGCCCAGGGGCTCTCTGGGCTCAGATAGGTGTCTAGGGCATTAGTAATGTCTCCTGCCCTTTTGCCTTGCTCTCCCATACCAGCCAGCTGTGCGTGATTGGCTGCCCACCCTCACAGCCCCAGGAGGGCCCCACCTAGGGATGCGCTGTCCCCTTCCAGGACCCAGCACACTGACACCAACAGTGCTCTTCTGTTTGCTCAGGCTCTGCTCAGCTGGTTCCATTCCTGCTGTGACTGCCTGTATGCCCCACCCCTGTGGTCCTGCCCTGGTAAACTTGGTCCCGGCCAAGTTCAAATACAGACCGGCTGCTCTGGGGCCCATCATGCCCTCTTCTCTAGGTCCTGGTGTGGAAAACCTTCATTCAAGCACATGGGGAGAAATAAAGCTACCCACCCACCTGCCTTTCAGAGGGGACTGACATTCTAGAATCTGAATATAATCAAGGCAGCAGCTCTTTTGAGAGATCCTTGGGCTCCAGGAGGAGCAGGAAAGAACCTAAAATCTTCTCAGGTTTGGACTGGGGTCTCAAAGGCTCTGAGGGCCAGCTTATGTCTTGAACAGGAACAATGGAATTTTCTACTTATGGTCCCTCTGCCTGTTTCCAGGAGGAATCCTGCTTTGGGAGGTAGGCCTACTGAAATGGGCAATTGGTAAAGTAAGTCATGGCCCAGCTCTCAGGAGAGATCAGAGGCCCTGGAATGGAAGGTGCATGGGCCTTACCCATGGGTCTGGAGTCATGGCTGTACCCTGGAGTTGTAATAAATCCACTGGATAAGGCCTGGTGGCTGCTGAAGAATGCAAAAGCACCAAGGAATCAACAGTGTTTGGGAGTAGGAGTTGCTCAGAGGACGTGAGTGTGAATGTCTTATGAGACTCAAGGTGGTGCCCAAATCTTGACATCTTAACCTTTCCCCCTTCAGGCTTATAATTTCTGTTCTGAGACTGCCCTGACTCTAACCTTTCAGTAAAGAAACTGCATTTTTCTGGTGTGTAGGTCTTGTGGAAGTTGAAGGTCAGATTGACGCGGGTGGAGGTCGGTCCTATTATTAATACATTCAATCCCATCCTGGTGCAATGGTTTTTCTGTTTATTGATTGACTGATGCAGAGTCATGCTCTGTCACCCAGGCTGTAGTGCAGTCAGTGGTGCGATCTTGGCTCACTGCAACCTCTACCTCCCAGGTTCAAGCGATTCTCCTGCCTTGGCCTCCCAAGTAGCTGGGATTACAGGCACATGCCACCATGCCCAGTTGATTTTTGTATTTTTAGTAGAGACAGGGTTTCACCATGTTGACCAGGCTTGAACTCCTGACCTCGAGTGATCTGGCTGCCTCGGCCTCCCAAAGTGCTAGGATTACAGGCATGAGCCACCATGCCCAGCCCAAGTTTTTTTCTTTTTCTTTTTCTTTTTAAACAGCATTTTCAGAGTAAACTATAAATACTAAAATGTACTTATTTTAAGTCTACGATTCAATGTTTACTAAATTTATAGAGTTGTACAATCATCGCCACAGTCCAGTTTTAGAAGCTTTCGTCCTCCTTGCATGTTTCCTCCTGCCAATGTGCAGTCAGTTCCTGCTCCCGCCCCAGCACCTGACAACCGCTCATCTGCTGTTTCTATGAATTTGCCTTTTCTGGACATATCATATAAACGGAATCATACAATATGTAGTTTTTTGTGGCTGGCTTCTTTCTCTTACCATGATGTTTTTGAGGTTCATCTAAGCTGTAATGTATTTGAGTAGTCCATGCCTTTCTACTGCGGAATGTAATTCCATTGTAAGGATACCACCCCTTTTGTTCAACCATTCATTAACTGATGGGCATTTAAATTGTTTCAAGTTTTTTGGTTACTATGAATGTGTTGCTATGAGCATTCATCATGTACATGTCTTTGTGTGGAGAAATGTTTTCATTTCCCTTGAATAGATACCTAGCAATGGAGTTGCTGGATTGTAGAGGAAGTTTATGTTTAACTTTTCAAGAAACTGCCACACTGTTTTTCATAATGACTATCATTTCACATTCTCACCAGCAATGTGTGAGGGTTGTAGTTTCCACGTCCTTACCATATGTGTTATTGTCTTTTTCATTACAGCTAATTCTATTGGCTATACAATGGCATCTCATGGTGGTTTAAAATTCTTTTACTGATACATAATATTTGTACATTTTTATGGAGAAATATGATATTTTGTTACATGTATAGAATGTAATGATTAAGTCAAGATACTTTGGGTGTCCATTACCTTAAGTATTTTTCATTTCTATGTGCTGAGAACAGTTTAAGTCCTCTCTTCCAGTTATTCTGAAATACACAGTATGTTGTTAATTTCAGTTACCCTGCTCTGCTATCAAACATTGGAACTTAAACTGTATGTTTGTTCCCATTCACCAACCTCTCCTCTATTCATCCCCACCCCGCTTCTCAGCCCCTGGTAACTATCATTGTTCTCTCTACCTCCACAAGATCAATCTTCTATTTTTTTCAGACGGAGTCTTGCTCTGTCTCTCAGGTTGAAGTGCAATGAATGGTACAATCTTGGCTTACTGCAGCCTCCACTTCCCAGATTCAAGCAGTTCTCCTCCCTCAGCCTCCTGAGTAGCTGGGATTACAGGTGCACACCACCATGCCTGGTTGATTTTTGCGTTTTTAGTAGAGACGGGGCTTCACCATGTAGGCCAAGCTGGTCTTGAACTCCTGACCTTGGGTGATCCACCTGCCTTGGCCTCCCGAAGTGCTGGAATTACAGATGTGAGCCACCATGCCTGGCCAAGATTAACTTTTAAAGGTCCCATATGAGGGTGAGAACATGCGATATTTGTCTTTCTGTGTCTGACTTATTAACATAAGGACCTCTAATTCCATCCATGTTGCTGTAAATGACAGGATTTAATTCTTCTCTTTGGCCAAGTAGTATTTCATTGCATAATGTGCCACATTTTATCTCTTCCTCCGCTGATGGACACTTGGGATTCCATATCTTTGTTATTGTGAATAGTGCAGCAATGAACATGGAGTGCAGGTATCTCTCTGATACACTGACTTCTTTTCCTTTGGGTAAACACCCAGTAGTGGGATTGCTGGATCATATGGTAGTTCTGTTTTTAGTATTTTGAGAAACCTCAGTACTGTTTTCCATAATGGCTGTGCGAATATACATTCCCACCAGCAGTGTATGAGTTTCCTTTTTTCTACATCTTTACCAACATCTATTATGTATTTAATAATAGTCATTATAACTAGGTTAGGATGATATCTCATTGTGGTTTTGATTTGCACTTCCCTGAAGTCTAGTGTCATTGAGCATTTTTTCATATGCCTCATGGCCATTTGTATGTCTCCTTTTGAGAAATGTCTATTTGTGTCTTTTGCATATTAAAAAAAATTATTTTTAGAGGCAGAGTCTCACTCTGTCACCTGGGATGGGGTGTAGCAGCGTGGCTGTTGTTCACAGCAACTTTGAACTCTTGGGCTCAAGCGATCCTCTCACCTTAATCTCCCAAGTTTCTAGGACTAGAGTTGTGAACATCACACCTGGCTTATTTATTTATTTAGTTATTTAGTTATAGAAACTGGTTCTTGCTAGGTTGCCCAAGCTGGTGTCAAACTCCTGACCTTAAGCAATCCTCCTGCCTTGGCCTCCCAAGGCACTGGGATTAGAGGCACCAGCCACCACATTCAATTCTTTGTCCACTTTTCTTTTTTTTTCGGCAGGTGAGTTGTTACACACTCCTTAGCGGATTCCGACTTCCATGGCCACCGTCCTGCTGTCTTTGTCCACTTTTCAATGGAATTATTTGCTTTTTCTTGTTGAGTTGTTTGAGTTCCTTGTATATTCCAGATATTAGTCCTTTGTCTGATGAACAGTTGGCAAATATTTTCTCCCATTCAGCAGATTGTTTCTTCACTCTGTTGATTTTTTTTTTCTGCCCGGGAGTTTTTTAGTTTAATAGAGTTCCATTTGTCTATTTTTTGTTGTTGTTGTTGTTGTTGCTGCCTGTGCTTTTGAGGCCTTAGCCATGAAATCTTTGTCTAGACCAATATCCTGTAATGTTTTCCCTGTTTTCTTAGTTTTATAGTTTGGGGTCTTATATATAGGTCTTTGATCCATATTGAGTTGACTTTTGTATATGGTGAGAGATAGGGGTCTGGTTTCATTCTTCTGCTTATGGGTATCCAGCTTCCCCAGCACCATTTATTGAGGAGGGTGTCCTTTCCCCACGGTATGTTCATGTTGCCTTTGTCAAAAATTAGTTGGCTGTAAATATGTGGATTTATTTCTGGATTCTTTATTCTGTTCCATTGGTCTGTGGGTCTCTTTGTGTACCAATAACATGCTGTTTTGTTTACTATGATTTTGTAATATATTTGAAGGCAGGTAGTGTAATACCTTCAGCTTTGTTCTTTTTGCTTGTTTGCTTGGGGTTGCTTTGGCTATTCAGGCTCCTTTTTGATTTCATATGAATTATAAGATTTTTTGTTCATAATTCTATAAAGTATGATATTGAAATTTTGAGGGTTTTTGTTTTGTTTTGTTTTAGATACAGTCTCACTCTATTGTCCAGGCTGGAGTGCAGTGGCATGACCTCAGCTCACTGCAACCTCTGCCTCCTGGAATCAAGCTATTCTTGCCTCAGCCTCCTGAGTAGCTAGGGTTACAGGCACTTGCCACCGCGCTTGGCTAATTTTTTACATTTTTAGTAGAGATGGAGTTTTACCATATTGGCCAGGCATATCTTGAACTCCTGGCCTCAAGTGATCTGCCTGCCTTGGCCTCCCAAAGTGCTGGATTACAGGTGTGAGCCACTGTGCCTGGCCTGATGCTGGTATTTTGATAGCGATTACACTGAATCTGCAGATTACTTTGGGTAGTATGGTCATTTTAACAATATTAATTCTTCTGACCCATGGGCATGAAATGCGTTTCAATTTGTTTGTGCACTCTTTAATTTTTTTCATCAGTGTTTTGGAGTTTTCCTTGCAGAGGTGTTTCAACTCCTTGGTTAACTTTATTTCTGGGCATTTTATTTTTTGTAGCTATTGTAAACTAGATTGTTTTATTGATTTATTTTTTAATGATTTCATAGGGGTTTTTTTGGTGGACTCTTTAGGTTTTTCTAAATATAAAATCATGTCACCTGCAAAAATGAAAATTTTGACTTCCTCTTTTCCAATTCAGATACCTTTTGTTTCTTTCTCTTGCCTGATTGCTCTGGCTCGGGGTTCCAGGCATGGAAGATTTTCCTTTCATGTTGAATAGGGATGGTAAAAGTGGGCATATTTGTTTTTTTCCAGTTCTTACAGAAAAGGCTTTTTAGCATTTTTCCATTTAGTGTCATGTTAGCTGTGGGTTTGTCATACAGGGCCTTTATGTTGAGGTATGTTTCTTCTCTGCCTATTTGGTTGAGAGTTTTTATCATGAAAAGATGTTGAATTTTATCAAATGCTTTTTCTGCGTCTATTGAGATAATCATACGTTTTTTGTCTTTCATTCTGTTGATGTTATATATCATGTTTATTGATTAACTTGCATATGTGAACCTATCCTTGCATGCCTGGGACAATTCCCACTTGATCATGGTGTATTGATGTACTATTGGATTCTACTTCCTAGCACTTTGTTGGAGAATTTTGTGCCCATGTTCATCAAAGGTATTGGTCTGTAATGTTCTGTTTTTTTTTTTTTTTTTTTTCAATTGTGTCCTTGTCTGGTTCTGGTATCAGGGTAATGCTGCCCTCATAGAATGAGTTGGGGAGAATTCCTTCCTCTTCACCTTTTTGGAATAGTTGGAAAGGCAAATTGGTGTTAGTTCTTCTTTATACATTTCATAAAATTCAGCAGTAAAGTCATCCATTCGTGGGCTTTTCTTTGTTGAGAGACTTTTTATTACTGATTTAAGCCTGTTACTCATTATTGGTCTGTTCATGTTTTCTATTTCTTTTTAATTTAGTCTTGGTAGGTTGTATGTGTCCAGGAATTTATCCTTTCCTCTAGGTTTTCCAACTTGTTCATAGTTGTTCATAATAATCTCTGATGATCTTTTGTATTTCTGTGGTGTCAGTTGTAATGTCTCTTTTTTTTGTTTCTGATTTTGTTCATTTGGGTCTTCTCTCTTTTTTCTTGGTTAGTCTAGCTGGTTTATCAATTTTGTTTCTTTTCAAAAAACCAAATTTTCATTTTATTGAACACTTGTATTTTTTTAGCCTCTATTTTATCTAGTTCTGCTCTAATCTTTATTATTTTTTTCTTCTAATTTTGTGTTTGGTTTGTTCTTGTTCTTCTAGTTCCTTGAGGTGTGTTGTTATATTGTTTATGTAGAGGCTTCTTATTTTTTTGATGTAGGTGTTTATTGCAATAATTTTCCTTCTTAACACTGCTTTTCCTGTATTCAATAGATTTCCAGATACTGTGTTTCCATTTTCAGTTGTTGCAAGAAATGTTTTTATTTCCTTTTTACTTTATTTACCTAGTAGTTGTTCAGAAGCAAGTTGTTTAATTTATATGTATTTGTATAGTTTCAAAAGTCCCTCTTGTTGTTGATTTCTAGAATTATTCTATTGTGGTTTGAGAAGATACTTGATATAATTTCAATTTTAAAAAATGTACTGAGATCGGTTTTCATAGCTTAACATTGGTCTACTCTGGAGGATGCTCCATGTGCTGTGAGAAGAATGTGTATTCTGCAGCTGTTGGATAAAATGTTCTGTAGATGTGTGCTACGTTGATTTGATCTAAAGTGCAGTTTAATTCAATGTTTCTCTGTTATCTTTGTGTCTTAATGATCTGTCCAATGATGAGAGTGAGATGAAGTCCCCAGCTATTATTGAATTGAAGTCTATCTCTCTAGTGGGAGAGATAAACTTCTAAAATTATTTGCTTTATATATCTGGGTGTTCTGGTGCTGGGTGCATATATATTTAGAATTGCTATAACCTCTTGCTGAATTGACCCATTTATCATTATGTAATGACCTTTGTCTTCTTTCGCTATTTTTGAGTTAAAGTCTATTTTATCTCATATAACCATAGCTACTCCGGCTCACTTTTGGTTTCCATTTGCATGGAATATCTTTTTTCATCCCTTTATTTTCAATCTATATGCGTCTTTATAGGGGAAGCAGGTTCCTTATAGGCAAAACATAGTATATGTTGCCTACAAGAGAAACATTGGATTAAACTGCACTTTAGATCAAATCAATGTAACAGACATCTACAGAACATTTTATCCAATAGCTGCAGAATACACATTCTTCTCATAGCACACGGAGCATCCTCCAGAGTAGGGGTCATTTTTTTCCTTTATTCAGCCTGTTTAGATCTTTTAAGTGGAAAATTTATCCATTTACATTCAAGGTTATGATTGATGTGTGAGGACTTATTCCAGTTACTTTGTTAATTCTTTCTTTGTTCCTTTCTTTCTCTGTTTTTGTTTATTTTGTTTTTTGTAGTGGTAATATTTGAGTCCTTTCTCTTCCTCATTTGTGTGTTTGCTCTACCAGTCCTAACCATAGGACTCCCTTAGACATTTCTTGTAGGACCAGTGTAGTGATTACAAATTCCCTCAGTTTTTGCTTTTCTGGGAAAGACTTTATTTCTTCTTCATTTATGAAGAACAACTATATGGGTATAGTATTCTTGTTGAACAGTCTTTTTTTTTTTTTTCTTTCAACAGTTTGAATATATATTATCTCATTCTCTCATTCTGTCATCTTACTCTGTAAGATTCCTCCTGAGAATTCTGCTATTAGTTTGGTGGGGACTCCCTTACATGTGAGTACATGCTTTTCTTTTGCTGATTTTAGAATTCTCTCTTTGTCTTTGACTTTTGACAATTTGACTGTAAGGTGCTGTGGAGAACACTTCTTTGGGTTACATCTTTTTGGAGATTGCTGACCTTCCTGTATGTGGATATCTAAATCTCTTGTTCAACTTGAGAAGTTTTCAGCTATTAATTTGTTAAACAGGTTTTCTATGCCTTGGGCTTCTCTTCACCTTCTGGAACTCAAAATTAGAATGTCTAGTCTCTTTATGGTGTCATAGTCTAGTCTCATATGGATGTCACCTAGACTTTATTCATTCTTTTTTTTCTTCTTCTTTTGTCTGACTGGGCTATTTCAAAAGATCTGTCTTCAAGTTCTGAAGACTTTTCTTCTGCGTGGTCTAATCTATTGTTAAAGCTCTCAAATAATTTTATTTTATTTGATTTTATTCATTGAATTATTCAGTTGCAGGATTTGTTTGGTTCTTTTTTATGAAAGCAATCTCTGTTGAATTTCTAATTCATATCTTAAATTGCTTTTTCTGATTTCTTTATATTGTTTATCTGTGCTTTCTTGTATCTCAGTAAACTTCTTTATATCATTATTTTGAATTCTTTTTCCAGCATTTCATAATTCTGTTTTTTATAAACACTGTTGCTGGAGAATTATTGTGTTCCTTTGGAGGTGTTATATTTCCTTGCTTTTTCATGTTTCTTGCCTTCTTATGTTGATATCTGCAAATCTGTGTAACAGTTTATGTCTGCATGTCTGGCATGACAGTTGCCTCTCCCAATTTTTGGGTTAGCATTCATAGGGAAGAAATTTTTCAGAAGATGTATCTATAGTGTTGCTTTAGGAGGGCACTTTAGCTTTGTTTCTGGGTGCATGCAGTAGTGTAATCTTCATACGATTTCCACAGCTGTAAACAGTGTCAATGGTATCTGTGATTTCCTCAGTGGCTTAGGCTGTGGTTGTTAGCAGAGGCTGTGATGAGGTTTTCCTGGGGACAGGGATGCCTGGTAGGCCACTCCTCACTCACCAGTGGTGAAAGCGGCACGCTAAGCATGCCTGTCCTTGTGCTTTCAGGTGGTGTACAAGATCACCCGTTTTAGCATTTCCAAGTGGGCCAAGTCTTTTTTTTTTTTTTTTTTTTTTTGTTGTGGAGTTTCGCTCTTGTTCCCCAGGCTGGAGTGCAATGGCGTGATCTCGGCTCACCGCAACCTCCGCCTCCCGGGTTCA